TTGATATTTGGTCAGTAACATGGTATATTGATGATATTTGGTCAGTAACATGGTATGTTGTTGATATTTGGTCAGTAACATGGTATGTGAATGATATTTGGACAGTAACTTACTACGTGGATGATATTTGGTATCTGCTATGTTGATGATTATTTTACCAGCAGTAGGCTGGGATAAATGAGCATGAGCCTCTCTCAAGGTTAAATCAGTTATATTGTATCAGATGTGATAGTTTAGATGTGATTAAAATTTAACCAAGAGAAACATGATTATGATGTGTCAAACTAATATATGTAGATGTTATGGTGATTATTAGTATAGATATCAAGGTTCTCATCTTGAAGGATGATTTTATTGTCATCTATATATATAGATGTAGAGATACTTGTAAAGTAGGAGTTACATGTGTATTAGTGGCAGTACATGAGACAGGGGACAAAGATTTGCTGATAATTCCACTGTCATCCTCAACCTGCCTAGTCTCATTATAGGTATACAGATTTTTTCTGGCTGTGATGTAATATCTCTGTCATCGGTTTGCTGACAGCAGTCATGCAGTGTTAGTACCAATTAGTCATTAAGGCCTTGTTATGTAATGGTGTATACCGCTGTCCATTTTTAACATATTAAAATTCTCTTTTTTTCACTAGTGCAATTCATTTGAAACTTGCCAGGGTGATTCTGAGATGGTTCTTACCAAGTATTTTTATTTTTAGGGTTGGTTCAAAATCCACATTTTAGGCTCTTTATCTCCGACTGCTGCCATTTATCTGAAAAATGGTGGGGATGAAAGGAAGGGGACAAAGAATTCTTATTTTTGGCCGCTTACAAATTGTCCTATTTTTAGGTTGGTTGGAAATTTGATATAGCAACCATGGTTGCCATCTTTAAAAACACACTTTAAACCAGTTCTCCATCTCCACTGCTGCCATTAAAAGATAAAAGAAATAGTGTTAGAGAAACTAAATTGATGATTGTTTTGCTAAGGTAATATCTAACAGAGACTGGTTTTGATACATTCAGCCATCTGCTTAGTCATATGATTGTTAAGGCCCATGGACCTCTTGTTGTACATTCTCACATATATCTGATGTGTACATTATATTTATTGATCCAAACATTTTCTAATAACTAGTCAAATCCAGGCAGAGGTAGATAGAAAATTCTAGATATGTTTTAAAGTATGTTCTAAAGATGAAAAGCACCTAGCTATCTACCCTATAGAAACTAATTGTGTGTGACATACATAGAGCTTCAAGCTTTTAAATACTGACATATTGCATGTGTAGCCTGTACTTCAAATTTCACTAGACCTAATAGCAGTGAACCACGATCAACAGAAAATCTAGGAAGTTACAGTTCTTTGAATGTTTTTAAGTTTATCTAATCAACACTTAGTGCAGGTAGTGCTTAACAAACTTAAAAGGAATGTATGGAGTGTGTTATGGAATTATCTGTTACAGTGAGTTAGTGTCAGGTGTTGTGTAATGACTTGTGAGTGAGAGTTAGTGTCAGGTATTGTGTAATGACTTGTGAGTGAGAGTTAGTGTCAGGTATTGTGTAATGACTTGTGAGTAAGAGTTTGTGTCAGGTATTGTGTAATGACTTGTGAGTGAGAGTTAGTATTAGGTGATGTGTAATGACTTGTGAGTGAGAGTTTGTGTCAGGTATTGTGTAATGACTTGTGAGTGAGAGTTTGTGTCAGGTATTGTGTAATGACTTGTGAGTGAGAGTTAGTATCAGGTATTGTGTAATGACTTGTGAGTGAGAGTAAGTATCAGCTATTGTATAATGACTTGTGAGTGAGAGTTTGTGTCAGGTGATGTGTAATGACTTGTGAGTGAGAGTTTGTGTCAGGTATTGTGTAATGACTTGTGAGTGAGAGTTAGTATCAGGTATTGTGTAATGACTTGTGAGTGAGAGTTGTGTAATCTTGTGAGTGAGAGTAGTATGTGTAATGACTTGTGAGTGAGTGACTTGTGAGTGAGAGTTAGTATCAGGTATTGTGTAATGACTTGTGAGTGAGAGTTAGTATCAGGTATTGTGTAATGACTTGTGAGTAAGAGTTTGTGTCAGGTATTGTGTAATGACTTGTGAGTGAGAGTTAGTATCAGGTGATGTGTAATGACTTGTGAGTGAGAGTTAGTATCAGGTATTGTGTAATGACTTGTGAGTGAGAGTTAGTATCAGGTATTGTGTAATGACTTGTGAGTGAGAGTTAGTATCAGGTATTGTGTAATGACTTGTGAGTAAGAGAGTTGATGTGTAATCTTGTGAGTGAGAGTATTGTGTAATGACTTGTGAGTGAGAGTGAGTGATGTGATGACTTGTGAGTGAGAGTTAGTATCAGGTATTGTGTAATGACTTGTGAGTAAGAGTTTGTGTCAGGTATTGTGTAATGACTTGTGAGTGATAGTTAGTATCAGGTATTGTGTAATGACTTGTGAGTGAGAGTTAGTATCAGGTATTGTGTAATGACTTGTGAGTAAGAGTTTGTGTCAGGTATTGTGTAATGACTTGTGTGAGTGAGAGTTTGTGTCAGGTATTGTATAATGACTTGTGAGTGAGAGTTTGTGTCAGGTATTGTGTAATGACTTGTGAATGAGAGTTTGTGTCAGGTATTGTATAATGACCTGTTAGTGAGAGTTAGTGTGAGATATTGTATAATGACAAGAGGGTGAGAGTTTGTGTCAGGTATTGTGTAATGACTTGTGAGTGAGAGTTAGTGTCAGATATTGTATAATGACTTGTGACTTAGTAACAAAATGTGCTGGGCATGGTATTTGGCAGGTAGATGCATAGGATAATGCCCAACAAAGTTTACAAAAATAAATAACCTTGACCCATATTCAAGGTTACATTAGCCAAATTTGTTAAAACATTTATAAAACTGCTTTTGATGAACTTAGAGGCCTGAATCTCGATGTTTGTCTGGTAGGTTGTTAAGTCAATTAGATATGAATAAAAGAAAGAAAAAAACAAGAACAATGGAGCTGATATTTCTGCTAATGCAGACTACCCATATCAAAGGGCAACATTGAAACCATTAAAATCACTGGATTATGATTATCTCTGGAATTTGTGTACACATATTATTTGTGTTAGTGTATAAGTATAGAAATGGTGATAGCACTTTAACATTGACAAAATGTAAAGCTGTTCTGTCAATTACCATAAGATCTTTATAGATTATCAAGATAAGAAACAGTTCACTATTTGTAAATGTCAACATTTGCTATATAAGTTCACCATTTATAAATGTCTTAGAACAGTTGCTTGTAGTTGGTTGCCATCAGTGCTGAGCAGTCTGTGAAATGTTGCTGCTGAGCATGTCTTCCCTGATCTGACAATATAATCTCCAGGGCCAGGTCCGTTTGTGTCATGTCACTTTGGCATCTTATTATTTTTTGGGTGTATTTTTCTTTTGTGTCAGAAGTGTTATATGTGAGCCATGGTTTTTTATCTTTTACATAGTTTTGATAAAGGAAGAAATCTATAGGCCGCTGAGAGAAACATGGCTGCCAGCCTATTATCATTAATCAAGGGCAGATAATGAGGAGCTAGACCATGTGAGTTTCATCACTGCCAGTGCATTATGTTTGTTCCAATCTGATTGGATAATAGATTTGTGACAGGTGGCGCCACCTGTATTGGAATCTCCAGCATCCCTACCATTATGGGGACGGTTCTGTAACAGCTGGGCTACTGTATGGTACATATGAGGTGTCAAAAACAACCCAACGAACATATTTCTATGGCTTTGAAGTCACAATAGGTCACCCACTTGATCGTTCACTGGGACTGTGTGCAATCTCTCAAAAGGGCCAAACCATCTTGTATGGTCAGAAAGACAAATGTTCTCCATCTTTCAAATTTCTGAAATGAGCACATTTTAGAAAACTGAAATAGTTGAAATAGCTTGTTGTAGCAACTCAAAAAATTTAAATGCAATTTTTTTTCTATCAATGTTCCATTTTAAGAATTCATTGATGTATGTTTAACAGTAAGAAACATTTGCTCATGTTGATTTAAGGTTTTATGTCAGTGTTTGTTAGCTTAATATTTTACAGAAATGCACTTTATAAGTTTGTTCCTTTTTGCTTTTTGTATAGATAGACGGAACACAGTTTTTAGCCCTGTCTGATAACCTTGGTCGCCACCCAATTAACATTATGTAATCCACTCTGTTCTCAAGTTTCCTGTATTGTTTATGTTTCTGTCTCATACTTTGACATCCGTCTCATGTCAAGAAGGTTTATGCCATAAATCTTCATTGGGTAAAAGAGAGATGTTAGCAGAAATAAAAATAATGGCTAGAATCTAGTATAGAAACCTTGGCAAGCCTCGTTATGAATAAAAAGTTCCTGACATATACTTACTAATTTTTCCTCTGTCTGAATGGTTGTGTTTTCCTTGGCAAATTGGAAGCTGATGGTTGACTGTAAGTCTGTTGTTGCTTCAGTAAGTAGGAACTATTAGTGCTCAGTTCCCAAGTCCTGTGTCAAACTTACTAGAGTATCTTGTATAGAGATGTTCAGTAATCCCAGTAACACTGTTGTTGTGTATAAAAATATGTTCAGTAATCCCAGTAGCACTGTTGTTGTGTATAAAAATATGTTCAGTAATCCCAGTAACAGTGTTGTTGAGTATAAAAAAATGTTCAGTAATCCCAGTAGCACTGTTGTTGAGTATAAAAAGATGTTCAGTAATCCCAGTAGCACTGTTGTTGTGTATAAAAAGATGTTCAGTTATCCCAGTAACACTGTTGTTGAGTATAAAAAAATGTTCTATAATCCCAGTCACACTGTTGTTGATTATTAAATGGTGTTTCTTAATCCCAGTAACAGTGTTGTTGATTATTAAATGGTGTTTATTAATCCCAGCAACACTGTTGATGATTATTAAATGATGTTCAGTAATCCCAATCAATCTTATTACTATTTGTTTCTGAGTAGCTATTTTTACTGTATGTAGTAATTGTCATTGTTTATGTCACACAGGCTACAGAGACATTCTACCGAATGGCATTGTCCAGAGGATGGGTCGGTTCTCTTCCACATGGGGAGGTAAGTCTCCATAGAAACATAAACTTTCGATGATTTTATTTCAGCAGCATTGTTGTTGAAAAGTTTTGTAAAAGTTTTGGACGGTGAAGTTGATGTGTTAATTCTGTATAATATGGAAAAGTGCTGTAGTAGTTTTGAGCAGTAAAGTTGATGCGTTCATTCTGTAAGATATTGAAAAGTTCTGTTAAAGTTTTGAGCAGTAAATTTATGTGTTAATTCTGTAAAATATGTAGAAAACTTTTTAAAATGTTTTGTAGTTACACAGAATTGGTTAATTCTGACAATTAACGGTGATTTTTATAGCTGTAGGCTATCACTAAATACAAAACACTGACAATTAACGGTGATTTTTATGGCTGTAGACTATCACTAAATACAAAACACTGCTTACTATTGATTAGTTGATATTTGACTTTGATAAATGAGGTCACTTTTTCATGAACATCTGTAAAGAGTACAATGTGGAACTATCTGTTCTCTATGATGTTCTTCTGGACCAGACACAAGGACTCAGGATATTATACTGATCAGTGGGAGATAGATATACAACACTTTTCATCTTCTAGCTCATTAAGATGGAAAACATTTTGTCAAGGGGATTGGAAAGGACAAAATTCATTTACCTATAATGTTGTACGGTCTGATTCTGTACAGAAGACAAAACCTTGATTGTGTTATTGTGGTTAGCTTCTGTTTAACAAACTCCAGGATGATGTTTTTGACAGAGAAATTACTATGCCAGAGAATGTCCAAGGGACATTAAACATATTCTGGGAAGGTTAATTATGTAATTAGTTGAATTGTAATGCTTCTACACAAAATGTATATTTATATTTATGTAGCAAATAAGTTTATTAGCCCACTGACATCAGATGGTGAGCTATTCAAATCACTCTGCCTCTGTGGTCTGTCATCTGTCCGTCATCCGTCCAACGTCCGTAAACAATTATTGTTATCACCATTTCTTGAGAAGCACTGGACGGAATTTTCTCAAATTGCATATGTAGGGTGCCCTTGGTCCCTAGTTGAGCCCATTTGATTGTGGGACTGATCTAAAAAACAAAATGAGCGACAAGCAGCCATCTTGGATTTTTTAAATGAAATTTTGTTATCGCTATTTCTTGAAAAGAAAGGTATGGATCTGTAGGTTCCCCTTGGTCCCTTGTTGTGTCAATTTGCTAGTTCTACAAAGGAATGTTCAAATGTCTTATCATTAAGAGCAAAGACAGAGAAGAGAAAAGAAGGTTAAAGATCCAACTTTCAAAGAGCATGTAAAGATCAAACAATGATGGGTGCCAAGATCCCTCTGGGATCTCTTGTTTTCAGATATGTTAGCTTTGCCAACTTTTGGAACTGGCCTAAAAATTTAAATAAATACATACAGTCAAAGATAGTCAGATATGCAACATTAACATGCATGGAATAAACAAACCGTTCCCTTATATGAGCTGACAAAAATAGAGTATTCTTTTGTCGTGTAGTTACATGTGGCCACTGCAGTATGAACAAGAGATGCGAGCACATGTTTCAGGGTGATGTAACCACCTAACTTTGGCAATGCATTCATACTGGGATTATGGCAGATTTAAGCAAAATAAATCTTTATCATTCTTAGTTAAAAATGTAAAATATCTCAAATCGTAAAAATATGAAAACTGACACATCGTAATTTTAGCGGTATGAATGGAATTTTTAATGCAAAGTAGTTGAGAATGTTGTGTCTGTAACTCATTCTTATGCAAATTTTAAAAACATTTGATACCTGTTTTGCATAAAGTTGGTGTTATCAGTCTCTTGGTTGGCATGAGTTACGGTGTGTGTGTACACTTAGTATCCTATCTGCTGCTCGCCATTGTTCCATCTAAACGACTTTATGTAGTATTGTTCCTTAAACCTGTAAAGATATTCTCTATGATATCTAAATTTTCAGTTTGAGATGGCAAGTAATTGTACTCTGTGTTTGAGGACTGGCTCATGTCTGGGATATTTGTCACAGTTGTTGTCTGATTTTGGGGTAATTATGGAGTTTTAACAGTTGTTTCCAGGAGTCACATGACTTACATATCATTTTATCTCCTTTATTAAGATACTTCATGCCGTATTTTTTTCCCATTTTTTGTCGTTGGCTGGTGCAGGGCTCATGTGGAACTGGGATTATGTCCGAGTTAGATTCAGGATGGATGCAGTGTATGGTGTATGAATCATTTGAATTATGTTGTTTTCTGGTGACTGCAGGTTCCATATAGAAAGCATGCACGGATTTAAAAAATTTTATGTGATGCTTGTTTTAAACATTTTATGTAACAAATTTGAAAAAAGATAGAAATCTCTGTCACAGCTTGTACTTTGAAATTGAAACTTTGAATGCAGATGTTGAAATTATATGAATCATATAATTTTTATTCTTTATCAAGAGGATAGTAAATTTTCGGAACTAAAATAATTTAAAAAAATATTGAAATATCAAATATGCATATATTTTTACTTTAAATCCTTTACTTTTTCATATTCTTTCATCAAAATTTACACTGAAAAGTTTTACCAAGAAAATAAGCTTTTAAGCAAATTCAGTTTAAAAGATTAGTGAAGAGTTTCGTATACAACATTTGAAATCTATTTAAGTACTGAATCTGAATCCATACAAGGTCATTGAATTTGTAATATGTCTGGAACCTGTTTCTATTTGTCATGGTAGGCAGAGTGTAATTGTTTCAACCATTTCACCAAGGAAAAGACTTTTAATCTTCGAAAAAGCTTTCAGAAAGTGGATTGAGAACTCTGCAGATTTAGATTACAGGAAATCCAATGTGGTTTAAATGTTTTAGAAATAACACTATTCCATGAGGGCCTGTTTGGTAATCTATTGAAGAGTAACACAGATCACTCAGCCTTCCATACACCAGCAGCTTGCTTTGTCTTCATGGCATCTTTATTTGGTGTACTTTAGTGGATCTGCAGTGAGATTGGGGAGGCCTATTTCAAGATATCATATAGAATTTAACAGTGGAGTGTTTGTTGAGACAGTCCTATCGGACACTTTCATCGGAGGGACATGCATTCTCTCGATGATCTTTAGATGCGTTGACGATGATTAATGGTTGTTAGAGTGCTGGGGAGTCGCCTAGTGACACCAAGTCTGCCAAACAAGAAAAATGGACTACAAACTCAATGCAACAATGGAGAGCATCCACTGAAATCTCTTGGCCTGTTATGAAATGATAGGACGACTGTATCGATCTCCTATTTATTGTTCTGGTAATAAGTGTTTAGTAAGATAATAGAATCAGACGTGCCAACACTCGACCAGTGTGTTACCAAGGAATTCTGACAAATTCAAATTAATGTTTGCATAACAATTCATGACCAAATATATAACTCAGAAATTCATATTTTCCTCTATAAAATTATGTTTGATATTATTTGATTTTATTAGCATTGATAAAATGTCATATAGAATGGAAAAATCATCGGCATGGCTATAATAATTGGGATTTATCTGTGTTGATTCTGATAGGTTTTGGACAAAAGTTTCCATCCTGACAGTTGCATTTTGTTCAGTGTGACAATCGATTGCCACATTGGATGTAATAGTCTGGTTTTAATTAATGTGTTAAATCAGAATTATGTCTTGGTAGCTGTTATATAGCCTAAAAAACAATCCGCCATGCCTTATTGTTCCCTTGGAAACACAACAATGACTGGCATTGTGTGAATTATTCAGACACTCCCAATAACCAATACTGACAGCTGAGTCAGACAAAGAATAAGGATGAAACTCTCTTGTCAAATGATAAATTTGCACTTTAAGGACTTGCTGTCTGCCATGTGACAAAGAACAATTGCAATCACTTCTATTCTTCAGTTTTAAGATGGAAATGAGATTTTCAGGACAATTCTTCAGTGAAAATCAGATTGTTGGGTACATATTTGCTCATCACAGACTTCATCCTCGAATTTGCCTGTACTCATTTCTTTTTAAAAGGTGTTGACATACATTTCACAAAAAATGCATTGATTTTTATTTGTTTTTTTTCAACAGTTTTCATCCACCTCTGGACAATAAAAAAAACTATTTGTGTAAATCAAAATTATGGTTAAAAAGAGTTCATCGGATATGTTGGATTTCTTTATGACCTTGTGTTTTCTGATTAACTTAAAAGTGATTTAAACGATTAACTGTTAAGATTGTATTTTATTGTGCTGAAGAGTTGCTGCCCCTGACTATTAGTTATGTAATAGCCCCAGGGGACGGGAGATTTATGAGAGGATGGTATTGGGACGATACAATCTGCTTCTGGGTGATCTGACTCTCCCAGCTCATTGATCACAACACATTACGCCATGTTATATGTTACTAGAGTCACGTACATCAGCAGATCTGGTCGGAGATTTCCGTGTGATCTTGTCTGCGATTTGGAGGAATCTGATGAGTGCAGGGACATTAAGATCGTCTGGGAGGGTTACAAGATCATTGGTTACATGTTGTCTTGGTCTTCCCCCGTGGTGAGATCTACAATATATCTGCTATGTCGACCAATGCACTAATGGTCGCCTCAAGTTTACGGCCCAATTTTCACAGGTCTATTGTCGGACATGTCTATATATCATATCTATTTCTGACAAGCACCTCAGTTTTTGTGTTCATGGCCATATTTGTAGTTATCATTGTAGCCTTGAAATACATCATTCGTCACATGGAAGTAAATGGGTCGCAGGAAAGATTTTTTTAAGGTTGTGAGTTAAGATGATTTTTGTCGTAAATGATTTAGTATTGAAAATGGGATGTTATATCATATTTAAAGCATGTTTTCTTACATCATTCTGTCTTATTTTGCTTAGCAATGTGTTTTTGTACTTTTCTCTATCATGTCCTGTCACATCACATCCCATCCTGTTCCATTCAATTAACCTCTCTACACATTGAGTCATATTTACCCTGTAGTATCATAATATCATGTTCTGCACCTTATCTGATTCTGGTTTTCCTAGGAGAGGGGGCATTCTGGTCTTATAGACATACAAGGGCTGATTGATAAGTTGTGAACCTTGTATTGAAGAAGTTGAGCAGGCATGTCCTTTTTCAGCTCTACTATTCCTTGACTATTTAAAGCTGTTTACCTGAAGACTGGTCAGTTTATATGGAAGAGGTAGCATTCTAAAATACACAAGGCAGGTGACTTTTGCAAAATGGACCAAATAGCTGAAAGATTTGCAAGATTCAATATTTGATATCCATACTGATATGGTAATGGTGCCCCTTCATATGGTTACAGTGAAAAGGTGGGTGGTAGAATTTAAGCATGGCAGGCAGAGCCTTGGTTATGATGCTCGTCTTGGAAGGCATGTTACTGTTGCAACCTCAGAAATGGTCGATAAAGTCCATGATATTGTTATGGCTGACAGGTGAGTTACAGAGAGATATATTGCTGTACAGTTAGGATTTCACAGGAAACAGTAGATTCCATTCTTAAGGAAGATCTTGTAATGATCTGTACGGTTACAAGAATTCTGACAGTTGATCAGAAGCACACCAGGCAAACTGCTAACTTTCTGCAGAAGTTTGTTACTATAGATGAAACAGGGGTGCATCATTTCACCCTAGAGACCAAACAACAGTTGAAAGAATGGAAGTACCCTGGTTCACTTCCACCAAAGAAGGCAAAGACTGTTCCATCAGCTGGAAAGGTTATGGCCTTGGAAATATTTTCTTATTGTTTTTAGACTGGAGTTATAATGCAGTATGTACATACTTATGTGTAGCAATGATATGCAATAGGAATTGTATAGGCCAAAAAGGAACTGTTTGGACTAGTTTTATAAAAATCTCTGAACTCAAAAAGGTCAGTTCCTCCTTTTCAATAAAAAAACTTGTGTGGAGGTCAGACAGACAGGCATTGTTTGTAGTTTTGATCTTTTATGGTGTTGATACAATTTAAAGACTTTAAAAAAGAGTTCTATAGGGGTTAAAAGTCATAACCATAAAGTCCCATCAACAATGTTACCTCAGTTGTTGGAACAATTTTTAAAGTCCCATCAACAGTGTTACCTCAGT